GCTGCACCTCGCGCAGGCGCGCGCGCTCCGCCTCCGCCTTGGCCTCCTCGTGCAAGATGGCGTCGTAGCGCAACATGTAGCCGCGTGCGATCGTCTTGGCGACGCGCTCGTCCTGCTCGTCCTCCATGAGGCCGTACGCGAGATCGAGCGCCTCGCGACGCTTGTACGCCTCCTCGCGGTAGCGCTCCAACGCAGGCGCCCACAGTGGCACATTCTCGTCCGTCTCGAGGTCCGAGTCATCCTTATTCTTAACGATGCGTAACTTTTTGCGCTTCGCTGGCTGCTCGTCCTTGTCTTTAGAAGAACCTACCGCTGTTTGCGACTCGGCAGCAGCTGCTGTAGCTCCGGCGGAGATGGGCTTGCTGCCGCTACCGGTGTCTTTGGCTCCTGCAGCTGCAGCTGCGCCACCCTTGCTGGTGCGCTTGCCCTTGCTGTTGCGCATCGGCTGCCACTCTTCGTCGCTTGAGTTGCGTCCAGCCGAGTTGCGAGCACGGCGCGGGCTCGTGTTCTTGCTGTTGCCGTTGGCCTGCGCCGTGCTGCTGGAACCAGCGGCAGGTGCCTTGCGCTTCTTGCCCGACTTGACGAGCGGCGCCTCCTCACTCTCCGCCAAAGGGGCGTTGTCTCCGTCATCGTGTGGAGCTGCATGCGGTTGCTTGGCCGGCTGCGCTGATGTTCGCCCGCCGTGCACTGACCCACCTTCATCGACTTCGATCGGCACGTGATGGCCATGGCCGTTGCTCTGCGGCTGGTGCTGCGAGCCGTCGCGGATAGCCATGGCCTTGCGGATGGCCTCGTCGCGCCTGGGATCGAAGAGCTCGGGGTTGGCCTTGATGCGCGCGAGCGCACGTTCGCAGCCGCCGAACAGCACGTCCTGGTCCGCCTCGTAAGCCGGGTCGTAGTCGGCGTCGGTATTGTACGCATTCGTCTTGCGACGACCCGACGCATGCACGATGGCCGCCTGCTGCGCCGGCGTCAGGCGATCAAACTCAACGGAGCGCACTGGCGGCGGCCAGAGCCCGTTGCTGGAAGCAGGCGCAGATGGCGACGCGCTGCTGCCGTAACCGATCGGCGCCGGGAGCTGCGTGCCGGTCGTCACGGGCGGAGGAAGTGGGGTGGACGTCGAAGGTGTCCGCAGCACAGGCGCTGCAATCGGAGCGGTAACGCTATGCGGTGAGAGCGGAGAAGGCCGCGCCTTTTCGCGGCGTTGCGCGGGACCGTCATCGTCGTTGAGGATGCTGGAGATGGACATGCTCGGCCTAGTCGGGCTGCGAGCGTCCATAGCAGCTGCCTCGGCCGTCTCAGACTCAGACGACATTCTTCGGCTCTGTCTGTTGTGCTCGTCGCGTTGTCGACTTGGGTCTGTTCTGCGCTCGTTGACGTGTTCGTAGGAAGGTGCGATGCGCTGTTCATACTGAGTAAATGGATGAAAGGGCGGTCAGCTACGTAGTGCTCTCCGTGTTCGGGAGCGCGAGTTGCACGCTTACCCTAGTGTCTTCTATGCCGCGCTCGGCATGAGAACGCGACCAAGTGTCCATGTGCCGCGAACTTGCAGCGCTGCCCTGGTGGTCGTCATGGCGGTTGCTGCCGCTGCTACTGCTGGTGTTGATGCTGCGTCGAGAGAAGGACGGGCTGATGGTGCGCCTGTCGCGCGGCGACTCGCGCCCATCGATGGGAGACATTCTGCCCGCGTAGGTCGGGGGAATTGTCCAGCAGTCAGCAGGGGCTATAGTATAGCCTGCCTGCCTGCTGCGCTGGCTAGGGCCTGGTGATGAGCAGAGACGGAGACGTGGCGAGCCTGTTCTGTGCAAGTGGGCCTCGAGTCCTATACAAAACCCCGGGAACTGGCTGGCTGCTCGGTGCTCGCTCTCAGCTGTGGCACGCCCTGCCACTCGCACACACGCACACAAACACTCTCTCACACACCCACGCACACACACGTGCTTTTGCCACTGGTGCGATGTATGGACGTTGATCAGGGCACTGCTCTATGATGATTCTGATGCTAATGCTGATGCTGCTGCTGCCGCGATAATACCTGACGGGGAGAGTAAAGGGCTGGAAGGGGGGGACGGGCGCGGGCGGGCGGATGGGGAGGAGGGTGTGCCGCGGTGTGGTGTGCTTCCGTTCACGTTTGCCTGGGTGTGCTGCTGACCCATACATCCCATACTTTTCATGGCTGCGGTGCGGTGCGGTGGCGCTTTTCGCTGGCGGTTGTTGTGTGGGATGGAGAAGCGTGTAACCCTTCAGCGATGCTCCGCCTCTCAGCGTTTTCTTCTCTCTGCCAGCAGCGCCCAGCGCTCACAGCCCGGATACATGCCTTCCTACTTCTTCCGCTTCTCTCCCTCTCGTTGCATGAGCTGCCAACGCACGTCGCGTTACTCCTCCCCGCACATCAATCACCATCACCAGGGACATTCTATGTATGCGCGAGCTGGGGCTGGGAGGCAGCCGCCAGTGCACCCCTGCCGCGCGCGTGCCGTACTGCCTTGCGTTCGTGTGCGAAGAAGACCCCCCTTCCCCCCCCCCGGCAAGCAAAAAAGCCCACCTGCCTAGAAAGTTGTTGGTTCCGCTTCCGAAAGAGCGTCACCCGCTCCATTGTCCCGCAGATTAGGGTTAAATTGCAAGCGCGCAGTCGCTTCCCATTGAAAAATCCCATCTCGGCCGACTCATGTACCGAACGAAACACAGTTAGTGGTGTACATGTATGGATGCTCTCCATGGTTGCCCTTGCTTTTTGAATGCCATACGCGCATTCCAGCGACAGTTCTGTACACCTCGTCCCCACGCCCTTCTCCGCCACGCCCCATGCATGTGCCATCGTGCTGGCAAGCCGGACAACGGCGGCGAATGAACGCACCACCATCACCACCAGCGCGCATTCGACCCGTTTCCCCACGCCATGATGGACGGCGAGGCCATGGACATGGACCGCGAGCCGCCCCCTGCGCCAGCGGATAGCAGCATCACTGAGGCACCAATGCCGCACAGCGACGCTGCTGTCGCGGACGTGTCGATGGCCGATGGGAGCACGACCGAGGCGGACCAGCCAGCGGCAGCGCAAGGAGAGCAGCCATCTGGGGCAGACATCAGAGTAGTATCAGCAGCAGCCGAAGAAGCTCAGGCAGCGGCCGGCCAAGGCGATACAAGCCCCGTCAAGCCGTGAGCAACTAAAGAACCTTACCCTCCGTCCTCACCATACACTGTTGTTTCGCCGCGCTCTGACTTCACTTTCCCACCTTCCCTCCCTCCAGACCGCATGGCAGCGCTCGGGCACAAGCCGTCAAGCTCGCTGATGGCGATCCGATCCTGCGTAACGACCTGCAGCACAACCTTCTCGCACACCTCTTCGGCGACACGACGCGCTGCTTTACCAACCCACGCCCCGGCATCCGCGCCGAGGGCGGAGCCGGCAGCGATAAGTTCGCCAAGGGGCCGCCGGACGTGATCTGTGCGCCTGCCTTCCCCGAGGGCCAGGCGGAAGGCACGACGCGCCGCTCGGATGAGACACCCGAAGAGTATGCGGCGTGGAAGGACCGCTTGGAGAGGTATAAAGCCAGCAAAAAGAAAGCGTTGGAGCGCGCCAAGGCGGCACAAGAAGCCCAGCTGGCAGCAGAGGATGGTGCACCCGCGCCAGTGTCAGGACAAGCAGCAGAACCACATCCGGCCGCAAATGCCCCGGACGAAGAAGAATGGCCACAGAATGGTGCCGAGAAGCTGACTTTCAAAGAGCTATATCTCGAGAGTCTCGTCACATCGAGCAAGTGCACGAAGAGCGTTCGGGCGAATCTCCTCAACGATCCGATCTACGCCGAAGCGCTGGCGAAGGTCTGTTTCTTGCTCAACGTCGGGCGCATGAACACGACGCTGGCATTTTACCCGGAGATGAAGACGATGCTCCGCTCCTACCACGCCATCCCGTCGATCCAGACAACCGAGACGACGCGGCGCAGCCTGCAGGACTCGCCGCGCCTCAAGGCGTTGCTCAAGTCCCAGCAACTTGCCAATGAGAAGCCCGGCGCGACCAGCGGCGGGCCCCCGCCAAGCGCCGCAACGATCGCTGCCGCGCGTGCGGCACAGGCAGCCGGCCTGCAGGAGGCCCCGGCTACGTTAGACGAGCTGGTTGCCGAGCGCTTCGTCAAGCAGAGGCTGCACCCACCCACAAGTATCATCAGCCTTGTCTTCCTGCTCTGCACGCACGCGGAGGAGGTTGCACAGCTGCACTTCTCCCCGCCTGTTGACGGCTGGGCTCTCCTCTTCCCCGACCCCGACGCACCCATCCCATCGGGTCAGCGCACACGTGCTTTCCTATGGCTCACATGGCACTACCTCGAAGGCGGTGCTGCGTTGCCGCCCGGCGGCAGCGACGGCAGTGTGCACAGCGGCAGCGCGGCTTGCAATCCATTTGCCGATGAGCACTCGCTCCGAAGCGTCGAGATCGCGCGCAAAGTCTGGGGCTTGCTGGCACCCGCTGAGCAGGACGAGATGCACAAACACGGGCGGTGGCGAGGCGTGCCAGCACCGCTCAAGGCGGAAATGTTCAAAGACGACGCGGCATATGAGGAGGCCAGGCAGCTGGCGGAGGCGGAAGGAGAAGCAACAGCAGAGGGAAAAGGTGAAGGCAAGGACGTTGCAGCCGTCGCCACGACGACGAACCTGCTGTTTCGTATCCGCGCCCCGCGCGTGGACGTTGTCGCGCCCGAGGCGATCGCGCAGGAGAATGTCGACACGCCCGAAGAGCTTGAGTTCGGCGAGGCGATGCAGAGGCAGCGCACGGAATTTGTCAACAAGATCGTTGAAGAGACATCCGGGCTCGCCGCTGGCGATGCTGGCGAGGACGGCAGCTCGTCTGCGCCGAGCGAGGCGCTCGCCGCCGCCGCGGCAACGGCGGGCAGGGCAGAGCGCGGTGCATCGGGTTCGCCCGCGCCAGGTGCCATCGGAAACAAGGGCAAGCTGAAGCGACTTTCCACCGGTGGTGCTAGCGGCAGTGGCGGTGCGGCGGCTGCGAGCTTGAAGAAGAGGATGAGGGCGCAGGCTGCTGCCAATTCATCCGCTGCTGCGGCCGCCATTTCAAAGGAGGAGGTCGATACGCCATCCAAGTCGACGTCCTTCAAAGTGACGCTTCACTCGAAGAAGGACAAGGGCAAAGCGGTAGCGACAGCGACACTGGCGCGAGAATCGCGCGGCGCAGATAAGGACGACGAAGAAGATGACGAAGACGACCACGACGATACACGCTCCTCCTCCATCGCCCCTTCCACCGAGGATATCCTCGAGAAGCTGTGGCACAAGCCACTGCTCAGCCCCTCCCTCGCGCTGCCTGGCCGCGACTCCATGTCGCGGCAGGCCTGGCGGCGCATCCTCGAGCGCGCCGCACAGGGCATCGGCGATGCGAGCTACAATTCGGACAACGAGGAGCAGGCCGACTACGAGGCAAAGGACGACAGGGTCAAGCCTAAGTTGGAACTCGCGCGCATGCTCCACTGCATACGGAATAGCCGCGTCGTCACTTCCTTCGTTGAAGGAGACAATGACAGGGCTGCACAGTAATCTTTGTAGTGCAGAAGGAATGGCAGTAGCAACACCAGTGAGGAGGAGTTACAAGACGAGTGCGGAACCAGAACATGAATTCTTCATATCTGATTTCCACCGGGCGGGACGGGCCCCGGCTGTAATACATAGCCATTCTGCTTCATCTGATCACATGCCACCTGTACCTGGTCCTGAGGCGAAGGTGGCGCACAGCCTGCCGACCGCGCTGGCCCTGGCGCCGGCCGAGGTGCTGCTCTCATGAAGTCGGGCGAGTCACTCGCGTAAAGGAGCCGTGGCTGTGGCTGATTGGTCAAAACGGGCAGATGATGCTGCTGCTGTTGCCGTTGGATCGTATAGGAAATAGGCGGCGGACGCGCGCCTTGGTTGGGTCTATTCACGAGATCGGCCACGCTTACGTTGAGTCTGGGTTTGTGCCGAAGGCCAGCATTCGGTGGCCGAGTGCCCACGCTGGTGCTGTGCCCATTCAATTTTCCCAAGGCAACAGCAGATATTGCCTGTGGCGAGGCCGATACCAATGGGGACGGATTCGCTGGAGCTGCATTGAAGCCTTGAACACCCCTATGGGGGGTTTGAGGACTCAAGCGGGAACTGTCCGACACGCCCAAAGGCGTCAATTCGGCCTCAGGAAAACTCGTGGAAGCAGTCTTCGGAAACCCTACAGCGCCATTGATCGTCAGACCGCCTCTCGACATCGTGCTGGGCTTTGTCAAGGCTTGTATACTCTCTTCAATCTTGGCAATCATACTCGCCCTTCTTTGGGGACTCTGCTCTTGAATCGCCACCTCCGCAGCACGGGTAAGCCGAGGAATGTTCAAAATGTCAATTCCCGCCTTCCACCGCAAGAGGTTGAGGGGACTAAGATGGATCGACAGGATCGGTGCCTCAACTACTGCTTCAGCGGCTTCTGGCGTGGGCGTGGCCGGCGAAGTTGTGGTCACTGCTGCTGCACTTGTCACTGTTGGCGACAGTGATGCGCGCTGTGCTGTGGACGAGTGTGGGGATGGCCCTGAATGCAGCCTTGGGGTTGATCTCGGTGCCGTCCGCAACAGCGTCTGCGGATCCTGTGCCTTTCCAGAAGCGGCCTGGCTGGACACGATAGTTTGTCGCGGCGGTGCTGGTGGTCTCGGACGTGTTTGACTTGCTACATGTGCTAGGACTTGAGCTTGGGCTTGAATTGGGCTTACAGCTTGGGCTTCGTTTAGAGCCTGTGATTGCAAGTTTGACGCTCGGTACGCTTCTACGCTTCGGATGAAAGCATGATATGCGACGCCCCATGCGTGGTTAGAGATCAGTTGCAAATCGAGCTGATCTAGGCCAAAATTGGGCAAGTTGCGCAGATGCAGTGGCAGCTGATGTTCCTGCACGACTCCGAAGATTTGTGATAGGGCAGCTTCTGGGAAGCTCATATGTGCCGCAAAATACTTCAGCTGCGGCACCGTCAGAGACGGTCGTTCTTTGTACGGGACAACAGGCGGAAGGGCAACACCGTTTTGCGCCCAGCCTTGAAGCTTTTCAAGTCGCTCTTTGCTCATTCCCATTAACAAACCAACCCGGAGGATTTGAGGCGGCCACGTCGAGATTCCATCGTCTTTGACGTTATTCCTCAGCCTTTCTCGCATCGCCGGCGTCCCTGCAACGGCGAGAGAAGTCGGAGCTTCTGCATAGGCAGCGCTTGTCGTAGAGGCCGGCCTCACGGGCGGTCGAGGAGGTGCAGACTTTGACGCGCCCGCACTTGAGTCATTGGACGACGAATTTGGACCCGACGGCTTTAACGTACGTTGAGCAGCTATTGCAGAAAGAGAAGCGGCTGCCTTTGTTGACTGAGGGGAGGCAGGCATCTGCGCTCTGCCTTGAGCACCGTTCGTGGTAGTTGGCTCGCCTTCCTTGTCGAATGGAGAGTCTCGCGGGACGAACTCCTGTTCATCCCTACCATTCTTGGCCGACTTCTTGCGCATCGCCATGCTTTCGCTGGAATCGTCGCCCGATGTCCGAGCCCTTAATACTAGATTCTCGTTGAGGTTTGCCTAAGGATTCCCCGAGAGTCAGCTCTGTATCTGTCACGTCACCACGAGAGTCACTCACGAAAAGTTGATTGCGCTTTCGCGGACCCAACAACTGAGCCTGTTTTTCTAAATTCAACTTCGCCGATTCCTCACTCTGCTGCTGCAACAGATTTGCCCAAAAGCTTTCATCTTCCCCGTGCGTGTGCTTATCGGCAGCAAGCCCCTCTGGCGACTCCTCTTGTTCCCACATGCGAGCGAAAAAAAAATTGCTGCCCAGCGTATCCTTGCTCTGACTTGCCGTGGCGATGTTCTTGGGCCCTTCCTCCCCTTGACGACGACAAAGGATGGCTTCAATGTCCTCGTCGCTGAACTTGATATCCTTGTCATTTTCCTCGACGCCGTTCTCCTCGAAAAGTGCTTGCGCACCGAACTTGAGAGTCGATTCCAACACGTCTGGTCTGCTCTCCTCGTTCTCCAAATTCTGCACGACCAGGTGATCCAAAAGCAGTTTTAGCTTGGCGTTTTCGACGATCTTTTCTTCCACCGTCGCCTTGGACACCAGCGTAAGGCAGAGGACGTTCTGCCAATCGAGCGGTCGAATCAGCATTGAGGCCGCGGTGAATGAATGCCCAAAAACTGACCTTCATCTGTCCAATGCGATGGGCACGCGCGATCGCTTGCAGATCCACATGTGGGTTGAAATCAGGATCAAATATCTGCAGATGGGGCGCAAGGGTCAGGATGGCAGGCTGGCAGCATCACCTTTGGCTGGCCGAGTGACTTACGATAACTGTGTCTGCGCTTGTCAGGTTGATGCCCACGCCGCCGGCTCTGGTCGAAAGCAAGTAGATGAAGTACGGCGAATCCGGCGCGTTGAAGGCATCGATACCCTTTTGCCTGTGCTTCAGGCCCGTAACACCATCCAAGCGCAGATATCGATAGCCCATCTCGACGATAAAGTCCTCGACAAGCTCGAGATTGATAACAAACTGACTGAAAAGCAGAACGCGATGGCCACGCGCCTTCAGCTTTGGCAGAAGAAGCTGGCAGCATCCCAAGTCAATGTGGTTAGAAAAGATGATCTCGCGAAAGCGTGCGGGCTTACCTTTAGAAAAGCGAGCTTCCCGCTAGCATCAATCAATCTGCTCAGCTTCTGCTTCCTGCTGAGGTATCGGTCGTCCAGGTCGGCAAGCTGCGGATTGATCAGATATCTGAAGAGGGATGAATCAATGGACATGCATCAGCTGTAATGCTCCAGATAAACTCAATCGTTAAGACTCACGCATGTTGGCAACACTTGCGAAGCTGCATCAGAATGTTCAGAATGCCAGGCGTAACCTTCTTTCTCTTTTTTCCTGGTGCAGTTTGTGCGGCTGCTGTGAGTGCGTGGATGTCCTTGACGTTGCCTTCGAGGATTGACTTGTATATCTTCTTTTGAAGCGGTCTCAGCGACGTGCGCACGATCAACTCCATCTTTGAAGGCAGTGACAACACCTCTGACTTGACTCGTCGGAGGAAGAATGGCTTTAGACGCGGCTGCAGCTCCTCGATAAGCTCAGGAGTAAGAACTTCGTATTTGGCCTTGAGCTCCTCAATATCCTGCCACTTGTCTGAGGATAAAAATCTGAGCAGATTGAAGAGCTCGCCAACGTTGTTGTTCAACGGCGTCCCCGTCAACAAAAGTCGATGATGTGTGTCAAGGGTGCTGAGGCGCTTGTGCAGTTGATTGCTGGATCCGCTCTTGAGGTTGTGCCCTTCGTCGACAACCAGCACCTCCCAGCTATGGACTTTATGAATGGGCCCAGGATCACTCCGCATAGTGGTGTCGCCCACAATGACAACATCTGCCTTCAGCGGTTGGTACTCTGCAGGTGGCGGGCTGCTGTGAAACAGCTCGTATCGTTCGATGACCTTCCGACACTCCTCGCCGCCGTAGTATGGCACGACTTGCAGTGCGGGCAGCCATTTCTCGAACTCTCTGACCCAGTTGGGCAGCGTGCTGTTCGGAACGACGATAAGAAAAGGGCTAAGCTCTTCGCGATAGTATAGCGACCCGATGAATGATATGATCTGGACGGTCTTGCCAAGACCCATCTCATCAGCCAGGATGCCCGGTTGCTGGTGGTGCCAGCCGTACCGCAGCCAATTCAGGCCCTCCATCTGAAAATCCAGCAGTCTTCCGCCTTCCAGCCACCTTGGCTGTGACTTAATCGGAGTGAAAGGCGCCTGAGTCCTTTGCTCACGCTTGATTTCATCCTGCGCAGTGGGTTTTCGTACGAGGACGTCACGACCGTTCAGGTAGCGCTCGAAAGATCGTACGCACGCCATCTTGAATTCCTTGTCTTCTTGCTGCATATCGGATAAGTCCTGCCAGGTGCATTTTTCGTACCCTTGGTCACCCCACTTGATGAGCGCATGAGAGATGTGCTCGAAAGACTGTGCCGCACTGGTAGGGATAGTGTGAACAGTGCCCTCCAATTCGTCGATGTAGATGAGGCCGGTGATGTCAATCGGAGGCGCGCCACCATCGCCTTTGAGGAGCTTTTTCTTCTTTTTGAATTCGGTGTTCCTGACCGCCGCTTCTGTCTCCTCACTGCCTTCCAAGATGGACGGGTGGAAATATACGTCCAGCATCCGCTCTGGTAAGAGCCACGCTTTAGGGATGCGCTCTACAGCATGCACATCCTCTGCTGGTGGACCGCGGAGCATGAGGAGGACGTCTGCCTCCTCTTCCGCCGCATTCATTGTTTGCTTCAGAATAGCCGCCTCGTCCATCGCGTTCGCGTCCTTGATGGCCTGAGTAGTCAGCTGCACGCGTTGACGATTGTCTTCCAAAGGCTCCAGCTCGAGCCGAGTGCCATGTTGCAGAAAATGCTTGAGCTTCAGACTGGTGCAAGACAGCCACGCATGCGGCACCCAAGCGAGCTTGCGGAAGGACTGTCGCTCAAACTTGACCAAATACTCCCTTCGACCCAAGTCGCCGAGCTCCTCATCTTGCTCACCTTTAGCCTCCTTACCTTTCAGAGACACCGCTCTGCTCCACAGACTGCCACTGCTTCGTTCCGTCCGGCTCTCCCCCAGCACGTAGCGCCAAGCGATGATCTCGTCGACTGCCGCCCATTTGTGACAGTCCAAGCATTGCCAGCCGTATTTATGTTGCACCTTGTATGCTGCTCCATGCTCGTCCTCTTCGCCTTCCACCAGGCATTCGTAGTGCGCCGTTCTCAAGCATCGGAGACACCTGAAGACGGGTCTCGCATAGTCTCCCAGTGCAGAAACATTGTCCTCGTCCTCTTGACCCCATCTTTCCATCGCCTCCTCCTCTGTCCTACCGACAGTGTCAAGGCCACACATGTAGCACATGGCGGGCTTGGTGTAACAGGATTCACAGGGAATATCTTCTCGCTCGACATTGCTCGCGATCTCCCTGACTGGCTTGAACCCGGTTGGGAGATTGGCGTTGAGATCTGCCAGGATGGTCTTCTTGCGCCTTCCTTGTAGACAGTCCCAGTGGAGCGGTGCGGTGCAGTCGGTGCATCGTAGCCAGCCTCCTTTTCGCTCAATGTCTGCCCTCATCTCCGCTTTGGAAGACTTGTCGTCATCCGTAGAGGTCTCGGCATAGCCGTCGGCGGGTCGTTTGAGGCGGTCTGTACCGTACCAAACGGATGCATCGCCACCTCTGCTTTTTCGCTTCTTCTTGGGTGATTTAATCTTGTTGATCTTTCGAAGTTCTTTAAGAGTGGGAGCGACATTGCATTTTGAGCAGCTGTGTACATGTTGCCCAAGTAGCCTCGCCGTCACTACAGGGGTCTCGCTGAGATGAGAGTCTGGGTCCAAAATGCTGGGACTCACACTGGCCAGTGATCATCGATGAGGCGCAGCTTCTTCGCCTTTTCGTTTTCACGCTGCCGATGTGCCATCGAAGCATCTTCCGACAGACCTGGCTCTAGCTCATCAGCCTCTTCTTGACTGCTGTCCACTTGCCCAGCCTGTGCCCTGATTTTGCCCTTGACGTTTCTAGAGCGTCCCCTGCCAATGACTGGGGTATCACTATCGTTGTCACCCCCGGAATACGATTCAACGATGCGCTTCTTGCGCTGATTCGATTGATCCTCGGACAAGCGTTTCTTGCGCTTCTCGCCCGCGCCAAAGTGCCCTCTGCCTCTTGCTCCTAGGGGAGCGTTAGCCGAGGAACATGAGGCGCTGAGCATGTCGTCGTTGTCGCTCCCGGCTGCGCGGTTCACCCGCGACGCCTTGGTTCCCTCGCACGACTGCCTTCGCGACATGACGAGTACGCCTGCTCGTTGTCGATGGACACTCGAAAGCTGACACCAGCTCTCGAGAGCCCAAAAACAAGGCCGGGCTAGAAACACCGAGGTTGCGATGATAAATGCAAAAGACGTCAGTCGCGTCAGTTCGCCGTGGGTGTGAGCAAAAGCCAAGGCACGTCGCCCTCTGGTCTTTGTCTGCTCTCATCTTTACTCGTTAAAGGCCTCCTGGTGGGGGGGGAGGGGCGGCGCGTCTGGTGCGTGACAAAAGCGCGCCTGTCACGCATCGCCTACAGAAAAGCTCGATTTGAGACGCGTATGTCCAACACTCTCTGTGAGCCTTCACATTTATCAAGTTACCCACCAGCTTTTCCACAGGGTATAGATCGTCCTAAGTAGTCGAGCTGTAACGAAGGAAGGCGCCGGACCTGGCTCGTTTTTCTCTTCGCCATGAGTATCACAGCCGCTGCAGGATCGTCGCAAGACGGGACCCCAGCCTACGAGTTGCCTTGGTAAGTGATCACGCCTTGCGATGCGTAAAGCAGCCATGGGCCTATGCTGATGAGGTGTGCTCATAATTCTTCAGGGTGGAGAAGTACAGACCGCTCAAATTAGACGATGTCGTCGGCAACAAACCGACGATCGAGAGGCTCAAAGTCATTCAGAGGGATGGAAACGTGCCGCACTTGCTCATATCAGTGAGCAAGCCTCCTGGAGGGCTGCCGCCAGTCATGTTATATGAGCTACTCACTTTCTGCCTGCCTCGCACACGCAGGGGTTGCCCGGGATTGGGAAAACTACCAGCGTGCATTGCCTTGCACACGCCCTATTGGGCGATGCGTACAAGGAAGGGGTACTAGAGTTGAATGCTTCCGATGAGAGGTGCGCTCGCCATTGGCCGACTGTTCCAGAGGCCACAGAAGACACGCTTATGCCCACTTCTTTTGCAGAGGTATCGATGTGGTACGAAACAAGATCAAACATTTCGCGCAAAAGAAGGTGTCTTTGCCAGCAGGGCGGCATAAGATTGTGATTCTCGATGAAGCAGACAGGTGAGGTTGGGCAGGTCAGGTCGGGGACTCGTTCCGCATGGTCTCATTAGTATATGCCTGCCTTGCCGTGTGACAGTATGACATCTGGCGCACAGCAAGCGCTGCGACGCACTATGGAAATTTACTCGAATACGACCCGCTTTTGTTTCGCTTGCAATCAATCCAACAAGATCATCGATCCATTGCAGAGTCGGTGCGCCATTCTCCGCTACACCAAGCTCAAGGATGAAGAAGTGCTGCAGCGGCTACTGGAGATCTGCGAGACAGAAAAGGTGAGTCGCTCGAGTCCAGTACTTCACATAGTTGTCTCGTGAGGGATAGACCGGCTGACAGATCGGGGTTGAATTGGACCTACCAGGTACAATACAGCGACGAAGGCCTTGGCGCGCTAATTTTCACCTGCGAAGGCGATATGCGACAAGCGATCAACAATCTACAGTCGACCTGGACAGGCTCAGGGTTTGTCTCGCCGGACAATGTTTTCAAAGTGTGTGACCAGCCGCATCCGCGGGTGATCCGCGCGGTGCTCAAGTCATGCCAGAAAGGCGACGTGGATACGGCGATCGAGCGTCTGGATGAGATCTGGAGCCAGGGCTACTCTGCGCTGGACATCATAACGACACTCTTCCGTGTCGTCAAGACGCTGGATGGCATGCCCGAGGCTCTCAAGCTGGAATTCATCCGTGAGATCGGCTGGACGCACATGCGCATCCTCGAGGGCGTCGCAACGCTCGTTCAACTTGGCGGCCTCCTTGCGCGACTGTCAAAGATGGCCATCAAACCCGATGCATTCAACGTGTGACATACAGTCACCACCTTCGTGACTCCGTGTATACCCCATCCGCTGAAAGAGCACGCATTGCATTCACGCACGCACGCACTCCCACTGAGCACGCATGTTCAAGAAACGCGGGAAAGTATTGCGCATTGCCCATTCTGATGTGTCAAGGTACAAAGAAAAGGAGAGTAGTTCGGTCGGTCTCTGCCCTATAGCTTCAAGAAAGAGAGCCCAGTAGGTTACTGCCGTCCTGTCGGTACAGGAATCTATTTCGACGAATCCCAAGAGAAGTTCGCAGGCAAAAGCGAAGGCGAAGGCGGGAAAATGCGAATGTGGAAGCGAAAGCTGTGAATGAAGAAGGCAGAATCAAGAGCGGTTGCCCGCTGTATCTTTTGCTAATGTACACCGCAGGTGATTGCACAGTGTAGGTGTGGCCCGTGACCGAGCTTCCCCTAAAAGGAGAGACGCTAGTTGGAGTGGTGGGGTTGCAGAAACCGAAGTTAGATTCGAAATGAGCGTGTGCTGTGTATCCGAAACGCGATCATGCGCTGGGTACACATGACGTATGCCGATGATAATGTTGATGGTGATGTAAATGAAAGCAGCAAGCCGGAACATTTGTGTTGAGACAGCGCGTGTGATACCCGAGGAAGTTGCGACAAGTCAATCCCGAAAGTGAAAGGCCCGGTCCGTTGGTTGGCGCGCACAGCAGCGCCTAGTGGCTGCAGCTGCTCGGGCGGTGCGAGTGGACTGAGTAGCTAGCATTGTCCTCCTGGTCAGCCTCCATCGAGTGGTGATCATGCGACGAAACGTGAATGGATGGCGAGATCTCATAGCCGTCATCGAACGGGTTGTTGCTGTTCCGCACCGCGAGGCTGCTCCTGTATCCGCGCTGACCGTGCTGCATCTCGCTGCCGTTGCCGACGTACAACACCTGCGAGGGATCCCCGAGGTTCGGGGTGTGCGCGTGCCGGCCTTCGTGCGCAGCGACGGTAAGGCGGTCCAGGTTATTAGTGTTGCCAGCTGACGCGAGCTGCAAGGTATCCAAGGCGAGGTAACGCGTGTGGATCATGCTAAAGTCGATTGAGGCAGCGTCGTCGTCCACCAGCACACTATTGGTGTGGTGGCTCTGCTCGGACGCCGTGACATAGCCGTGACCGTGGGAGATTGCCGAGGAGAGGCCGCCAAGCGACATGCCGGAGGCCGAAACGACGCTCACGCGGCTAGGGTTCTGCTCATGGTTGTGTGACAAAGGTGCTTCTGACAATGTCGGCGCCGTGGTAGTGGTGAAAGTGTGGGTGGACGATGCGGCCTCGTTTGAATGTCCCCCGTCAGAGAATGGGTTAATGTTGGCGTTGCCAAATGAGCTGAAGGGGTACACAGCTGCGGCCGGTGCGACAGGCGTGATGGGCGAATGCGGCACCTCCGTCATGAAGTCGTGGTACGCCGGGCCGTTAAACTGCATGTTCGACTGCCGACTCTGCAATTGACCAGGAACCCACGAGTCCTCGGACGAACGCGAAACACGATCACCGTCGATGCGATCCTGGTACTTGCCGGCTCCGACGAGTCCTGCGCCAAAGGTCATGCCGCGCTTGTAGTTCCTATTGAACGTGCGCGCACGGCCAGTGGCGCCGAGCGTGCCGGCAGAGGCAGCGACGGCAGCCTTGTGTCTTCGGCGCCTGCGGACGATGAGGAAGACGATGGCGGCGATGAGGACAACGAGGATGACTGCGATGGGCGCGGCGATCTTGGCAGAGTTGGAGCCGGATGATGACCCATTGGCGCCGCTGCTGCTGGAGCCTGGCAAACTACCGGAGTCGCCGACGCTTCCAGAACCTGTTGATCCGAACGCAGGGGTGGTGCCTGTTGTCCCGTCTCCACTCTGGCTAGAGGCGCCAGCGTCAGTCGCAGCACCACCATCGAGGGCGGCGCCGTTGGCTCCTGTGCTTGCGCCAACAGTGCCAATCGTCCCGCCGGCACCGGCGGTACCCGTGGCGATGCCGATGGCCTTGGGGTTGGCGATTCCCGGGGAGCTGAGTGAAGGGTTGAACGGAGGCCTCTGCCCTGAATACGTGCCATTGTTGCCCTGGCCATTGCTGCCCGGTGGATTGGGGCCTCCAGCGCCACCATTACCCCCGTTTCCGCTGTTGCCTCCGTTGCCACCGCCATTTCCTCCTCCGCCATTGTCACCGCCCCCATTTCCGCCGCCACCACCGCCAGACTGAATGCGCAAGAAAGGAAGCGGTATGAGTGTGTGGAATCCGTGAAAATGCGTCGGGAGCGATGCGGAGGACACTCACGGAGTGATCACCTGTCGCGCGCGAGACCCAGAGGCAAAGATGATAGACAAAGTCAGCATGCAAGCACTCTGAATGTGCAACTCGGCCTTGATAGATGCTCACCGCTAGTCAGAACAGGTTTAAGGACCGGAAGGCTCGCGACGACCGGTCCCACGACGGGCACGCTCTCGACGGCTTTGCCAAGGCCGTGTACAACCTTTGCGGTGCCATTGGCGACCTCTCCCAAGCCTGATACGATGCCTTTGACAGGTTTGAAGCTGGAGTCAGAAGAGGAATCTGAGCTCTTCGCTTCGGTAGATTCCTTAGACGCGGTGGTTGACTTGGAGGATGGTGAGGAGGCGGGCGCCTTGGCGGAAGAGGACGACGCGGCTCGGTGGGCAGATGGCGTCTTGGCGATGGGCGACTTGCTACTCGAGCTCGAATCTGAACCTGAGTCGACGAGGTCGTTAGCAACGTGGTGGACGAGGCCGTCGCGCATGGCAAGAGGAGTGGGAGCGTGGGAGACACGGTCTCGTCGCGAATGCGAACTTGAAGCGTGCCGCCTCTCGACGAACTGGGCCGACGCCTTACCTGTAGCAGAAGCGATGCTCAACGTAACTAATGCGAGCGGTGTTTGGGGTTTCATGATGGAAGGTGAAAAGGAGGGGGATGAGAGGGTGAAGGGCGTCGGACACAGGCCGAGTATATGAAGTTGGAGGAGCTGGCCCGCGTTAGCGTGGGGCCCGACCGGAGATGGGGAGCTGAGCCTGCGGATGAGTTTGGCCACACGCTCAGACCTGTCGGAATGAAGGGCAAGGGGACGCAGAGAGTGTCTCAGAATGAAGATAGCAACGCTCTCGCGACCTCGGTCTGCGAGTTGTCCAAGGCGGAAGCGTGAAAGAGGGCTGGCTGGACTTGATGGCTCTGGATCGTCGTCTTCCTCGGCGTCAGATAGGAACTGTTGCCAATTTGAGCGCGTCCCTATCGCTCGCCGATTGGGTGTGTGAGACAGTCCTCTTTTTTCTCTACTGCGAGACCGTCTGAACGCAGACCCTTCTCCACCTTTAGACGTGCAACGAAAGGATGACCTTGGACCACGATCTTAAGAGCAAGTTAACTAATAAACCTGATCCTCTCATCTGTTTCATCGAGACGAGAGAGCCCCTCCCTGCCTCTTTCTCTCCCTCCGTGCCTCACTCGAGAGCTCTTCATCGCATTGATTGCGATTGGGATGGTGGATGTACGTAAATAGCGTGATCTGCATACAGCAGTGCTGCCTCACGAAAAGTATGGGCGGGCAGCACTGTAGCAGTGTAGAGCTGAAGTGGCGGCGTGTCTTTCGCGAGTCCACCCGCGACACTTTACCAGTGAACGTGTGTGTGGACTTCTGTTCGACACTCATCAAGACCATTTGAGTTGACACGCTTGGAGCCTATTCCGAATTTAGGTTGTGTTGGAAAGCCACACTGCTTCCAGTGGCAGAGCACCAACCTTCTGACTGCATGTGTATGTTCCCGTAGTTATGTAGTTGAAACCAAAACCGATGCATGCATGTAAAAGAGATGTTCAGCAGTCATGTGCGTCACACCAGTCTCCAGGCCCCAGGGCTGCTCCAGGCGGTACATCTGCTCTTCAGATCTGACATCCGACATTGGCAGATTATGTGCATACCACTCCTCTCTCTCCAAGTCACCACATCGGCACTATGTATGGCAATGTATTAACATTCATACGAGAATATATTCATTCATACATACGTACTCCCATTATAGCACATATGGTATGTACATACATTGTCTGTCCTCGCAATTTGTAGGCAGATTGGCAACCACTTGCACAGAGCACTCCAGCCTTACACGACAGCACCAGGTCGATTACTATGTCCCCTTCGACCCCCACATACACAGCACCTTCTCTACCAGCCCAGCAGCGCCTCCTCCTGGTTGCCAGTCCAACCGGCCAACCAGGGCAGACGAAAGCCAAGTCAGGCCAGGCGACGCCCCACAGTCGACAGGGTCCAGGAAGGCAGGCCCAGGAGTTCGTGCGATCCCCACAAGCGGGAAATCGCGCAACTCAGCGCCTCGGCGCGTTTGCGCTTCAACGCTACCATGAACGTCCTCGATACTACACTTCATCACTGTTCACAAGTTCACACACAACTCGATCTCTGTAGAGAGTTGGTGGCTATTGTCGTGACTCTGTTTCAGTATGGAGATAATAGACCCTGCCAGTCTGCCACGCGTGTTGCGGTAGAACTCCTTCGCTAAAATTCGCTTTTAGCATGAAACCGTCTGTGGCTTTTCTCCTCTGTGGCGTCGGGTTTTTCAAAATAGAAAAGAAAAAGGCAACTTTCTAGGACAAGTTTACCCTTTCTCTCACGATCTTGCCACGGCCTTCCCGGCTCCCGCGTTCCGTGGGTCATGGCTCGCGTCTCACGACCCGATTCCCGGCCTTCCTGGCCCCCGCCTCCCCCCCAGGTAACATGCAGCAGGCTCTCACACTAAGCAGGCTCAATCATAGGCCATAGAGATCCCCCTCTTCGAAAAATAACGACATTTACCACCGCTCGTCCCATTTGCCTGACCGCCCGCGCACTGCGGAGTGCGGCACTGCTGCGGCCTGGCGCACAGTTCTTGACGCCTGACGCATCTGCAGATTGCAAACCCCAGCTCGGTTGTTCCGGGTTAAGTCTTGTGTGTCGTATGGTGTGGTCTATTTAGAGGGGTGTCATCGAAACATCAGTTTAATGGGTAAACAGGGAAGAGCCTGACAGCTCAACAAGAGACGCCTTCTGGTCTGCGCACAGTGCGATGTCGTGGGACGAAGAGCATCGTGGCGTGGCCCCGTCTGATATTCAGCGTCATGCATCACGGTCTTGCATTCTGAAGACCTTTGCAACTTGATCCATGTCATCGTGACACCTACACCTGATTCATGGTCGCCGGTCAAGGACACATCAGATAAGTCACGCTCGCGCACTCCCATTGCAAAACATCATCCACAACTGATCCATGGTTGACAGGCGATGCAGACAGCTAGACCTGCCGAATCAGAACCCCTAACTCTTCATGATGGTGTATATGGGTCTGGTAACTAGGATTTTCCCACTGGTTGAGCGGGTCGTTGTACGTGCGCGGCGCCTGCTAGAGCGAATTACCCTTTTGCTTGACCAGTTCAGCAATGTAAGCAGCCCCGGCGTTAGCCTGCGCGCCATTGCCGCTCTTCGGTCGGCCGCCATCGTACTTGGGCTAGGCAAAGTCGTCGCTGAATTGGAAGCAGCCGTACTTGTTCGCCTTTACGGTACATCCCGTCGACTCCATAGCGATTCCTACGAGGATGTGCAGTTAGAATTTGTGAAGCGTAGCTGCTTTCTGGATCGCAGCGTCGACCTATTGCGGTGAAGCGGGCGCATATTGATGAGCTGGTCAAACAGTATGACTTTCGAGACAACGTTTCTGAAAGCGAAGCCGACTGACGAAGCAGCATCGCCACAAGCAACAGCACCAGCGGCAGCGCTGCCTGCTGCCTTGGAGCTGAGCTTCTTGTTTCCCTTGCCCTTTTGCCCCCGGAACCGCCTTGCGAAGGCTGACGTGCGAAGAGTGCGTGGTATTCCGCCGGTACGTAGAGTGACCGCCTAGAGAGCAACAACGACGGGGCTAGAGTTGTGGAATCCCTAAAGTTGCGTTCAGAGATTTGGGGCGGTGCCAACGGAAGCTTTCGAGTGTGTTGCATGGTACGTTCAGACAGTCAAAGCGATGAAGACAGTCGCAGCAGCAGCGGTATTCAGCACGCGTTCTCACTACAGTAGCGGAGCGCGGTAGTGAGCAAAGCCTGGACCTTTATTATCTCTTTAACAGCGAGTGACTTCAGGACACTTAACAGTAATGGGTATCGAAATGGAGCACACAAATCCATTGGTGCTAAGGTAGAATGAGAAGCTAGGTGGAATGAGAAGATCGGACCGGCCGACAGGAACCCAGGGAGAGGGGCTATTGAAGAGGTCGAGACCTGATCAACGAGAAAGGATTTGGCAGGACTGATGGTAGCGGTGAGAGAGGTTAAAGAAGGAAGTAGAGGAATGAAGGTCGGAGATAGCAGTACGGTTTCTTTGGTGCCATCTTTATACATAGACAAACGGTTTGTCGTTACCGGCAATACACATGCGATGACATCGAAATGGCGCAGAAACTCTGGCCTGCTCTAGTCTGATCGGCGTCTCCCGAAGGCGTCACTGCAGCTCAGTCAGCGCCAACACGCGCCAAATCGAGGGATGGGCGAAGCCGGAAGCAGGTCATGTTGCCTTGTTCAAGAAGAGAGATGTAGCGAATGCCACAAGGCGCAAGTGCATTGGACAGGTGGAACTTCACAATTGGGCAAGTTGAAAGGGCACGCAAGCCGAAGCACCGCTGGATCTGGCGATGAATGACGTCAACAGGTAATGAAAGGCTGTTCAACCCGCCCTCTGACACCCAAGGCCGAGTGACAGAGCGACCAATAAGCATCAACCCATTCCAGCAGGACTTCTTGTTGTAAGTGTGGTGAAGTGCAGGGTATCTCGGCGTCCGCCGTGGCTTGTTGATTTTCGTACAAAAAAGGTTGCTTCGTTCCTTGACAAGGGCTTCGAGGCCGTTCCGCTCTACTTGTTAAATAAGAAGCGTCAACTTTGCACAAGCTTTTCGACTTCCCAAGTGACCATGCACCCTGAGTTCGACCGTATGGCAAAAGCATGTTTCTTCTAGATTGTACACTGTGGGGACTGCGCCTAGGATCCTCACCTCGATTTCGGGCATCATTTGAGGTACCAAACCTTAGTATTCATTGAGTACACACTTTGCTGGTTGCTCTTTGATTGCCTCTTCGTATGTCGGAAATGAGATAGGACTGTATCATGAATATCAGGGTTGGACGAGCAACCACAAGCCCCCATACTGCTGCGGTGATTTCAACATGATCGAAAACAAAACTTACAAAACACAAGAGAACAACAACGCATGGACAAAGAAAGGTACGCTTCCTCGACAAGCGAGCTGAACGCATAGCGCGCTGTAATGCGAACAAAGAACAGGCTACAATCATGAAGCAGTCCGGGGCTCTCAGGGGTGCGATTGGGTCTCGCCTCTCGCCAGGCCGCAGACGCCCAAGTTGCTAGTAGATTCATCCGGCGCCAAGGGGTATGCATGCGCGTGTAAACACGCCGGCAACTACATCCAACGCACGTTGGAAGCCCTTGTGACGGTGAAGCGAAGGTGCCCGTTGTTTGATCAAGTCTCCTTGCACCTGCTGCTGCCTAGCCGGAGGGCGGAGTAATGGTTTATGTAGTGGAACGGTCGCGAGGAGCTTGTATTTTGCTTGGGAATACTACGATACAGTTTTAAGCCAAGTTAAATCCCAGCGACTCTGCCGCAAGCTCCTCATAGGAACGACGCTCGAGGCTGTTGGAAACACCAGTGCTAGTCATCACGTCCAAGTTCTCGCCCAGGTCCGAGGCAGGCTTCTTGTTCCCATGCTTGTGCTTATGTGCGCCGGCAGGTGCATCGACAGGTTGCCCCAAGTGCAGCTTCCTTGACGAAATCTGTAGGGGTCCATGATCCACCAATACCAAGTCGGCGACCCCGTGACGATTAAACCGACTGGATCCCACTTGGTCGTCCCTGTTTTAAGTAGATACATGGCCGGGAGCTGGCTGAGGGCCCGAGAGAACTGCTTGAGGGGGGCGGAGAACTGCGGAGGTGGCGAAAGGAGGCCGGCTGCGAAAGCAAGGGTTGAGGGCGAGAACTTGGCGGGGAAGCCGTTTAGCTCTTGTCTGCGTTTGACGTCTGATCATTTACATCTTTGGATGATTTTTGCTCGACCTGGAACGAGGGAGCAGAAGAGACGACTGTGCCGATTCGGAAGTGAAGACGGTTGAGGCGCTCCGGTCCCGATTCAAATGCCTGGGTGCCGGATGTGAGCACGATTCTCCTGTCGAGAGAATGCGTATCTCCTCGCAAGTCGCCGTTGCTTTCTTGCAGGTGAGCGGCCGCGTCCCTCTCCGCCAGCGGTTCAGCATGTCCTCGTTCCATCATAGGCGCAAGGGAAGGGCCGCCGCCCGGTCCAGGAGGCATCATAGGACCAGCGCCAAG